TTCCTTCCTTCCTTCCTTCCTTCCTTCCTTCCTTCCTTCCTTCCTTCCTTCCTTCCTTCCTTCCCTTCCCTTCCCTTCCTCTCCCCTTTCTTTTTTCTTGTCTTTCTTATTCCCTTTTGTTTCATTCCTTCCTTTTTCTTTCTCCTTCCTTCTTCTTTTCTTCCTTCCCTTCCTCTCTCCTTCCTACCTTCCTTTTTCTTTTTTCCTTCTTTCTCTTTTTTTTATTTCTTTCTCTTCCTTTCTTCTTTTTCTCCCTCCCCTTTTCCCTGTTCCTTCCCCAGCAAAGACCTTACGACTACGGCATCCCCATGGAGGTTGAAGTCACTTACATCCAGGATGGATTTTTAACCAACGACATTCTCCATGAAATGGTATCTGGTTTCTCTCCGTTCTCTTACAAAGGGTCGTTTGGGGGCACCGTGACCCAAGCACACCACTATTCTGATGTAAAAAAGCTAAGGGGGGGGGGTCATAGAAATGAAATTTACAGGGAGTGGTGGTGCTATCTCACAAGAAAACTACCAGCCCCAGTGGATTTAACTCTAGAGCATTATCTCTTAAGCTTGGCCCTTTTAAAGAGCTGTGGACTTCAATTCCCAGAATTCCCCAGCCAGCATAAGTCACGCTCGTCCTTATACGGGTCACCCTGTGACTGTGCCTGATTTCACACCCGTTTTTGTAGCTGTTGCTAAATGAACCCGTTTTACCCAATGGGTGGTTTTTTTTGTTGGAAATTGGAAGTAAATGTTAAGTTTTCAGCGAAAGGAAAAGTCATAAATTGTGATCGTGTGACTGTCAGACATGGCAAATGTCTGTAAACGTGGGCTGGTTGCTACGGGCCCAAAATCCGATCACATAACCACGGGGTGGTGGCGTTGGCTGTGAGAACTGTTATTAAGATTTAAGAATGACCAGCAGTAATAGCTGTCAGCTGCTGTAAAGTCTGATGCAATTGAGGATGAATCAGCATAGCATGAGTATTGCTCTTTTAAGACTAAGAGTGGGTCCACAGAAGTTCTACCTCTTTTAAGAGGTGCTTATATAAAATGCAGCCATTAGAGGGCATGTTCTCTCTCCTTGTGTCCGGAATTCAAATGCTGTGTTTTGCTCCTGGTTGTCTCATAATAGCAGTCACGTTCCAAATGCTCTGACAAGAACTTCAGAACTAGGTCCTAAATAACAGCAGGGAGGTCCGTCGGAACTCTGAACGGTTGTAAGTTGAGGATTACCTGGAAGTCGCCTAACAAGGGCAGGCCTTTGTGTCTTTCCTTCCATTGTTCGTTTTCTAACCTGCTTCCAGATGCTGCTGGTGGAGTTTTACAAAGGGGCACCTGACATGGTGAAGTTCCAGGACGCATGGAGTCAGGAGCAGACCTACCTGGACAAACTCAAGGTAAGACTCACCTGGATAAAGGGAACGGCGGAAAATAAATTTGATAAATAATACTGGTAGCCCTCTCGACTTATGATCACAATTGAGCCCCAAATTTCTATGGTTAAGTGAGACATTTGTGGAAGTGGGTTTCACCCCATTTTACGACCTCGCTTGCCGGAGTTGTTAAGTGAATCGCTGAAGCCGATGTTGACTTTGCAGGCCCGAAGGTCGCAAAAGGGGATCACGTGACCTTGGGACGCAGCAACCATCTGTGAAGTATGAGTCCATTGTGCCGTGTGTCTGTATTTCGATCACGTGACCATGGGGATGCTGCGAAGGTCGTAACTGCAAAAAACGGTTGTAAGTCACATTTTTCAGTGCCCGTTGTAACTTGGAAGAGTCACTAAACGAACCGTGGTTAAGTCGAGGGCTACCTGCAATTACAATGACAAGTGCTTTGGGACTTTAGACTCCAAACAAGAGAGGGATCTGCCGCACAACACCCCAGATTTAACAATTGTCGATAAGAAAGACAAAAAAGGATATAGGAAAGTACTTTGAGGAGCAGAAAAGAAGAAAAATCACAACATGCGAAAAATCTGAAAATAGAAATGGAACAACTTTGGCAAATGAAAGCAAAGGTAGGACCAATAGTGATAGCAATAGCACTTAGACTTATACACCGCTTCACAGTGCTTCTACAGCCCTCTCTAAGCGGTTTGCAGAGTCAGCCTCTTGCCCCCCCAACAATCTGGGTCCCCATTTTACCCACCTCGGAAGGAGGGAAGGCTGAGTCAACCTTCAGCCTGGTGAAATTCGATCTGCCAAATTGCAGGCAGCCGATAGTCAGCAGAAGTGGCCTGCAATACAGCACTCTAACCACTGCGCCACCACATAGAGAGAAATGATATTGATGATAGATAGATATAGATAGATAGATAGATAGATAGATAGATAGATAGATAGATAAATAGATAGAGAGAGATAGATAGATAGATAGATAGATAGATAGATAGATAGATAGATAGATAGATAGATAGATAGATAGATAGCTTGAGCCTGGTGAGATTTGAACTGCCAAATTTCAGGCAGCCGGCAATCAGCAGAAGTAGCCTGCCGTACTGCACTCTAACCACTGCGCCACCACATAGATGATATTGATAGATAGATAAGTTAGATAAGATAGACAAATATAGATCTGATAGAAGATAAATAAACAGGTAGAGATATGATAGAAAGATAGAGATATGATAGAGAGATAGCAATAGCACTTAGACTTATATATCGCTTCACAGTGCTTTACAGCCCTCGCTAAGCAGTTTGCAGTCAGTCTCTTGCCCCCCAACAATCTGGGTCCTCATTTTATCCACCTCGGAAGGACGGAAAGCTGAGTCAACCTTGAGCCTGGTGAAATTCGATCTGCCAAATTGCAGGCAGCCAGCAGTTAGCAGATGCAGCCCTGTGCCACACATGTGCCACCACATAGATGAGATAGATAGATAGATGATAAATAGATAGATAGATAGATAGATAGATAGATAATAAATAGATAGGTAGATAGATAGATGATAGATAGATAGATAGATAGATAGATAGATAGATAGATAGATAGATAGATGATAGATAGATAGATGATAGATAAGTTAGATAAGTTAAATAAGTTAAATAAGTTAGAGAGATATAGATATGATAGATAGTGATAGGATAGCAATAGCACTTAGACTTACACACCACTTCACAGTGCTTTACAGCCCTCTCTAAGTGGTTTACAGAGTCAGCCTCTTGCCCCCAACAATCTGGGTCCTCATTTTACTGACCTCGAAAGGACAGAAGGCTGAGTCAACCTTGACCCTGGTGGGATTCGATCTGCCAAATTGCAGGCAGCCGGCAGTCAGCAGTAGCAGCCCTGCAGTACTGCCCTCTAACCACTGCGCCACCACGGTTCCACGTCCGTAATAGGTGCCTTGGGTGCAATCCTGAAACATCTGGAGCCGCATCGGCATTGACAAAATCCCTATCGGTCAATTGCAAAAGGCAGCCTTGCTCGGAACCACTGACATCCTGGGAGGTGATCATCGGGAATCGGCTCCTGTTTAACGATGGTTTGCAGCGTCCTGGAGTCCCGTGATCCCCTTTGGCGACCTTCCGACAAGCCAACTCAACAGGGGGAACCCAGGTTCCCCTCACAACCGTGTGACTGTCATCACAACTGCAGTGATTCACTTAACGAGGGCGCCAAGAAAGGTTGCACAATGGCTGGCTGGAGAATGCTGGGAGTGGGAAGTCCACCACCCGTCTTTCCAGCTTCCGAAGTTGAGAAGCACCATCTTAAGTCAAAGAAGAACAACCAAGACGATGAGGGGTCTGAAGGATAAAACATATAAAGAACCCTTGCTGGAATTGGGTATGTCTAGTTTAAGGAAAAGAAGGATTAGAGCAGACATGATAGCAGCCTTCCAATATTTGAGGGGCTGCCCCAAAGAAGAGGGAGTCAAGCTATTCTCCAAAGCACCCGAAGGCAGGACAAGAAGCAACGGGTGGAAACTAACCAAGGAGAGAATCAACTTAGAATTAAGGAGAAATTTCCCAACAGTGAAGACAATTAACCAGTGAAACAACTTGCCTTCAGAAGTTGTGGGTGCTCCAACACTGGAGATTGGACATTCATTTGTCTTGAAATGATGTAGTTTCCTGCCTGAGAAGGAGGTTGGACTACAAGACCTCAAAAGTCCCTTCCAGCTATTCTATTCTGTTCCTGTTCTAATTTTGTTGTTTCTATTCTATTCAGTTATTCTATTCTTTATTAAATTCTATTCTGTTGTTCTCTTCTATTTAATTCTCTTCTCTTCTATCCTATCCTATATAATTTCTACCTTCTATTTTTTTTTTCCCCTTCAGGGCTCCTTAGCATCTAGGATCCCCAAGGACCAAGGCTTTGGGCATATCCTGGAACAAGTCTACGCTGCCCTCCAACACAGCAGCTGACGAAGCATCCCTTCGAACTCAGGGGACTCAGGCAGAGGTCACAAACCTGGATCGAGGCAGGGTTTGAATCCAGAACCGCAAGCCCTGACGTGCATCGGGGAAAGGAACAAAAAAGACAGGGTCAAAGTGGATCCTTTCCCCCCGCCATGTTTGAAGTCATCCATTTTTTTTGGCTCAAGCCTTTGGCTGGGAAAGCGGGAGAAAGTACCCCCCCCAGATGTGTTAGAAAGTAGGTCAGTGCGCCCATTTTACAGATAGGCAAGTCGTGAGCGTCAGTAACATAATTTTTTTGGGGGGGAGGTCAGCGTGCGGAAATTTAGTTTTGCCAATAGCACCATTAGGAACTTGTTTTCTACAGCATTTAAGCAGAGATGTAGCTTTTGCCAGCTTGCCTGGAAATACTGTTGGCTAGGAAAATATTGTCTTTTGAGCAAATGGGCCCAGAGTTGTGGCAAGATGGGTGGCTGATCCATTTAAATAAATAAAAATAAATAAATAATAATCTGAAATAGGACAAGCTGGGGAAGCAAGGGAGAAGGCGACCAAGATCCTCTTAGAATGGGTAATGGAAGAAAATTTAAAAAAAATGTCCAAAATCCCATTCTAAAAGAGGGAAAAATATATATATATTGGTACCCAAGTTTGTCCTCTGGCTTGACTGAAGGAAAGGAAAGGGAGGTTCATATCGAAGAGATGCTGGGTTGAATAATTCTTTTCCTGTTTTAAGCTTTCTCTCTCAAAAGGGGGTTTTTGCTGCAGAAGGAAGCCCTTCGTAGACGCCAAAACACGGAATGATAAAAAGATGGGAATACTTCGGGGATGGCCAAAATGGGGAGAATTACAAATTGTCCACCTGCCGAGTGTGAGCTCGGGCCCTAAAAATGGTCTTTGTTCACCTGGGAAAGGTGTAAACCAGGGGTGTCCAATCGTGGCAACTTTAAGACTTGTGGACTTCAACTCCCAGAATTCCTCAGCC